CAAAATGACACGTCTCTTCCATATAAGTGCAAAATGACGGTATTTACTGCTGTAAAATTTGAAATTTTTAGAAAAATAATTTAAGAAAAATAATTTAAGGGCAAATAACTTACATTTTTTTTTATCACTTTATTTAATTGCTTGGTTTTGCATTTATATATAGGATAAATCAGCAGATGTTCGTAAAGCAGCTGAAGTATGCATTGGTGAAATTTTCAGAGTTTATGGTCTTGATGCAGTATGTAGACAAAAAATTTTGGTGCCTCCTTTGGTTTTTGAACCAGACGAGCACCCTCCCCAACATATTTCTTAACAAGTTCACGAAGCTAAATTGTACTAGACTACTTGGCAGTATGAGCATTTTTTAGAGGATTAAATATTTTTGGATGGATGTGTTTGGATAACAAATATTAGTAATTTTATTTGTTGATAGCTGCGCATGGATAACAAATAGTTATGTTTCAAATTGTTATGCTAGATGGATGTGACTTGTGAATGAAAACTTAGAATAGTTGATTTGTGTCAAATGTTAATGAATTATGTATTGTGTCGAATGTTAATGATTCAGTTAATTTGAATGATGTTTTAAAATTATAAGTTTGTTATGGATTGAATGAATTATTAGGAATTATAGGTGTATTGTTTTCCTACCTTGGCGACCAATTTACTAGTCGCGGCATCCAAAATAAATTTTTTTCGCAAAAAATGATATTTGCCGACCAGAGTTTTGGTTCCAAAAAATACATCTATTGCCGACCAAAACAGCTCTTGGTCGTGGAAACTCACTTTTGCCGACCAAAAGTTTTGGTCGCGAAAAGTAACAAATGGCGACCAAATTTTTTGGTCGTGAAATGTGATAATTTGCGACCAAAAAATTTGGTCGCGAAATGTGATAATTCTATTGATGAAAAAGTTTGGCAATCTGTCATGAATGGGTGGACCGAACCAACAATTACTATTGATGGAGTAACTTTCCCCAAACCAATTGATAAGTGGGACACAACTGATTACCAAAATAGTAGTTGGAAGAGTAAAGTTATCAATTCTCTCTTTTGCGCTGTCACACCTGAAGAGTTTAGGAGTTTTGGTCGCAAAAAATACATCTATTGCCGACCAAAACAGCTCTTGGTCGTGGAAACTCACTTTTGCCGACCAAAAGTTTTGGTCGCGAAAAGTAACAAATGGCGACCAAATTTTTTGGTCGTGAAATGTGATAATTGGCGACCAAAAAATTTGGTCGCGAAATGTGATAATTGGCGACCAAACTTTTTGGTCGCGAAATGTGACAATTGGCGACTAAGAAATTTGGTCTGGAAAATATCACTTTTCGCGACCAAAGTGTTTTAGCGACAAAATAAATTAGTCGCGGTAATTAAATATTTAGCGACCAAAAAATTTAGTCGGCAAATCTAACTTTTGCCGACCAACGAAAATTTTGGTCGCGAATTACTTTTGCCGACCCTCAATTGGCGACCAAAGTAGCGACCAAAAATTTTGGTCGCGAATAACTTTTGCCGACCAAAAATAGACTTTTAGCGACCAATTTTTTTGTTGCTAAAAGTGTTAATTCTTGTAGTGCCCTTTTGTGGCTAGATTGGCGAGGATAGCGAAGACGATGAAGAAGAATTATCAGTGGAGGATTCCGAGGAGAACAATTGCTCGCCATTGTCGTCATTGTCACTGTCAGACTACGAGTCTGATAATTGGAACTTGAGGGTCAAGAAACCAAAGGTGGATGAAGAGGCAATTAGTGTTTGCTCGCTGTTGTCATACGAATACAATGCAGTGGATGATGATGAACACGGTTCTTCTTGCGTTTCATATGATTGGAGCAACATGCCATTGGAGACTGAGGAATTGCAGGAAGTTGATAGGCCTTTGTCACTGTTAGTTTGTTATTAGGATGATGAACTAGTTCTTCTTCAAGTGTGTGTGTTCCAATATAAAATGTCTAATAGGGTAGAAAATTTGTAGGACAAAACATTATTGCTATTTTGAAAAAATTAAATCAATTGACATTGGAATCCTATCATTTTATACTAAAATATTTAGCGTTGTGGCTTACATATATATATTTAAAAATGTGATTGTTGCATAATTTTAATTGAGTTTTACAAGTAAAACACTGACAAGGGTTTTCATTAACAATAGCAGTCAGATGTGTATTTTAAAAAATATATATATATGCCAAATTAACAAATTTTTATCCTCTATTTGCCTTAAATTTTATTTAAACACAAATAACTATTGTGGGGATATATTTTCTGAGTACCAACACGTGGCTAAGGTGACGCCGACGTGTAAGCCGAGGTGCCACGTGTCCTAGTCATGATGTCGAGGTTATCTCGGCGAGGCCGAGGTTACCTCCGAAGATATCGGAATCTGAGATAAGCGGATAAGGCACAAGAGTCCTAGAAATGGGGAAGACTACAGTTGGGAAATGATAAGACTCTTAGGGAGTTTATCCCAATCCTACTGGGAGTCCAAGATTTATAGTAATCCTAAGTTTATTAGAACTAGGCTCCTATTGGGACAAGGATTGGGTTAGCTATAAAAGAGAGGTACCCCGTGGGTCTAAGGTACGCAATTTCATATTCTGAACAGTGAGATTTGCACTATTGATTATCTTTGAGAGATATACTGACTTGATCGTCAAAGTACCCCCAGGTGGACGAACCACCGTCGGAATCTTCTCTTTCTATTGCAGGTCAGCCAGGTGTCATCTATTCTACCAGTATTCTCCAGCTGAATACTAAGTTGGGCAGTGTGATCGGAAAATCACTCACACAATTTGGCGCCGTCTGTGGAAACGAAAGGAAAATAGATGGCCAGTAACGAACAGAAGGAAAAGATTGGGGACGACACTCCTGCTGGGAGTGAGAGACCTATTGACCTTGATATCACAGAAAATGAATGCAACGCAGAAACTCGTGACCAGAATCACGGAGTGAAAGACATCGGCCAGACTGGCGACGCACCGAAGAAACTAGATCGAAATGGATACTACAACGAGGGCGACCTCCAGGTATGGAAGGATAGGTGCCTACGGAGGGACGAAGAGGTAAAAGAGATGGAAAACAAATTGGCAGACCTACAGTCAGTCGTCAATTTCATGATGCAAAATAACGTCATGCAGCCACCGTTCCCGTTGCACGACACACCGATTCTAGCAGCCAATACCCAGAAGGGAGGGCAGAAAACAATCCCCGTAGCCCCTCAGGACAACGGGAGCGAAAGTTACTCTCACCAACCTTCTAGGGAAGTCGGACGAAGAGAGTCAAGAAGAGAAGAATCACAAAGGACGCATCGCACAAATGAGGCAGACCCCAAAGGACATCGGCATGTTCAGGGGCAGGCATTGTGCTTCGACATAACTCATGGAGAAGGGTCGAAAAGGACTCACCACGAAGTTGAAAGTAGCGCTCCAAAAAGACTAAAAGCAGGAGATAGCCAAGCTCCTGGACGAACGAAGGAGGACTTAAGAGATAACCTCAAGAGGAAGCAACAGAATGCCAACGCCGAGGTAACCTCCCCAGATAAGCCAAAGACACCATTCTCGGTAGAATTGAACAGGTTTGAGGCGCCGAAGAGATTCAGTATGCCGAGGTTTCAAATATACGATGGTAAGTCAGATCCTAACTTCTACGTTGGATTATATTTGAACTCAATGGCATTGTATAGTGGGAATGAGCCATTGCTCTGCAAAGTGTTCCCCTCATCTTTTGGGGAGATTGCATCATATTGGTTCCACAAATTACCAAAGGGAAGCGTGAAGACTTGGGAAGGCCTGGCCGAGATGTTCGTGGCCAGGTTCGTGACAAATAAGCTGCAGCCATTAAGGGTGGACACATTGATGGTCCTGAAGATCAGCAAGGATGAAGGCCTTAGGGCCTATGCAAAAAGATACTATGAGGTGTTCAATCAAATACTCGAATGCAATCAAAAGGTGGCGGTCGTATCTTTTATGAACGGCCTGAAAGATAACTGTCCACTACGAAAGTCTTTGGCAAAGACATTGCCAAAAAGTATGGAAGAGCTCATGGCGAGAATCGAGAAGTATGCTAGAGCCGAAGAAGACACGTCGCGAACTAAGGAGATAAAGCAAGAGAAAGGAAATGGCTCGCCGAAGCGAGGCTGAGGTAACAATAGATCGAACAAACAAGAGGCAGAACTGAGGGCCACACAGACAGTAACAACTGTGTTCTAAATCTCGATTCCCAAAGTCCTAGATCGGATTCAGAACCAAACCTATTTCAGAACACCAGTAAAGGCACCAGGAGAGTTTATGGGAAGGAACGTTGGCAGACATTGTGCTTACCACAATGAAGATGGGCACACTACTCAGGGTTGTAGAGCCTTGAAAACACACTTGGAAGAACCGGTGAGGCAAGGCCATCTGAGGGACCTCATCGATGAGGCCAGGACAAGGGAAGAACAGGCAAGATTGCCTCAGGCGGCAGCAGCTCCGCCTCCCCCAGCACCACAACCTCAGGCAGGAGGACCTTGGGTAGTCAATGTGATTCACTCAAAGGTCAACGAGAACGAAATTAGGGGGAGACCCGGAAGGTGAAGCACCTGCAACATGTCTACCAAGTCAGGGAGAAGAGACATCGGGCAGAGGAGCGCCAAGGACCAGTAGTGTCCTTTTCAAAGGCCGACCTTGAGATGGTACAACATCCGCATAATGATGCCTTGGTAGTGTCCCGCCAGGTTGGGGAGTGCCAAGTAAAACGCATCCTGATTGACCAAGGCAGTTCTTGCGACATCATGTACGTTCGATGTTATAAGGAGCTTTGCCTTTACCTAGACGATATGGAGCAATCCAATAGCCCAATGGTCGGGTTTAATGGAACGCCGACATGGCCACTGGGAACAACCAGCTTGGAGGTGTAGGCGGGCACCAGGAAGGTGACAACAGAGTTCACCGTAATCAACACACCCTCCATTTACAACATCATCTTGGGAAGGCCTTGGTTGCATGCAATAGGGGCAGTTCCCTCAATATTGTATCAACTATTACGATTCCCAACAGAGCATGGGATAGAGATAGTCAGAGGCGATCAGCTACAAGCGAAGAATTGCTCCATGGCAGCAATGAAATCTACCTGCAGCATACGAGAGGCAGAAAAGGCAGAAATTGAAGATGAGGACATGAAAGTCCTAGAAGACGTCGGCAAGGAGCCAACCGAGAAGAGCGAAGAGGCACTGAAAAAAATCCTCGTCCAGGATAGGGATGAAGAACGCTTCTTTCTTCTCGGCTCAGGCTTAGCTGAAGAAGAGGAAAAAGAGTTGGAAGTTTTTTTGAGAGCAAATATTGAGGTGTTTGCTTGGACACCTTACGAAATGCCTGGCATTGACCTCGAGGTCACTTGCCACAAACTGAATGTTGA